AGCCCTCTTGCAGCCCTAGTTCTTAGATTTTAAGTATGCAGCCAAAAATAGAGAGAAAAAGAAAAAAAGAAAGGAGAGAGCTCCAAATATTTTCGTCACTTTTGACACAACAGCAGAAAAACTCTATTTCCTGGAAATTGAACGGTCGGATCGTCGTGATTTTTGGTCAGTATCTTCACAACATCTGAGCTCATCACACAATTATCACAAGGATTTCGCCCGGCTAGGGTTAACTTAGGAAATCGACTACCGATTTGGTGTGATATGGGTGTGATAATCATGTGATATCACCATCATAATAGCGCACTCGATTTGATCATGATTTCGTTCGATTAGGGTCAGACAATCACATATTTATCAAAATGATTACCCATTGTTTCGATAGGTTAGGATTAGACTATCACACATGTATCACAACGATTACGGGCGAAATCCACTAAACGATTTGGTGTGATATGAGTGTGATAATCATGTGATATCACTATTATAACATAACTTGCGTACTCAATTTGATCATGATTTCAATCGGTTAGAGTTAGACATTCACACATTTATCGCAACGATTACGCATGGTTTCGATAGGTTATGGTTACATAATCACACAATTATCACAAAGGAAGTGAAGAGAGTGGAAACGAATATGATCAATCCAAGGGAAAAAGGGATAATTATAATTAATTAAAATAAAATAAAAATTATAAAAATAATTTAATTACATTACTGATCTTATTAATTTATTTATATTTAATATAAGTTAATTTATTAATTAAAAAAGTTTGAGATTATTATGTTGTTTTCGTGTTCTCGTAAATCACAGGGGTTCTCGTTTGAACATCCACCTATACACACACACACACACATATATATATATATATATATATATAGTTTTAAACAACAAAAATATAAAAAATAAAGTTTTAACTATTTTTGAAAACTTAAAATACCCATATGATGAATTAAGTTTTAAAAACTCACATATTTATCTTTAATTTTTAATGAATTCTATTATTTTAAATCTTTTAGTTAGTTTTTAATTAAAGAATTATATAGAAAAAAAACAAGTATTTTATTATATTTGATTTAATACTCGTATATATATAGAGAGAGTTGGGTTCATACGAAAACAATGACCAAATAAAAAAAATAAGATAATGAATATGGATCACATAATTTATTAAATAATATCTTAAATAGATAATTCTCAAACTGAATAAATAAGGGAATAAAATTAAATTAATTATATAAGAGTAAATAATGCATTTAAAATAAGTTTATATAATCCTCATTTAAGGAAATTATTTTTTATTTTAGGCAATATT